TTCTTTTTTTTTTTTTTTTTTTCTTTTTTGTTTTTCTAAAAAGCAAAGCAAAACCTGGAGACACGAGCAGTGGGGAAGGTGGAGGAGGAGGCAGCGAGGGGGCTGGAGGAGAGCAGGGGGGAGGGGAAGCTTCGGTCCTCCCCTTTGCACACTGATTTGCAACCCCCTTCCTGTTTTGGCTCTTCTGAGTAGCTCCGCTCTGAGACTGAAGACGTGGTTGAAACCCAAATTGACGCAATCCTGACGCTACAGGGCTGAAATCAGCACCTTTCCCACCTCCCATCCCCCTCCCCCCCAAGTACCACACCCTCCCTATTCCCTCGCATACCCCTCCCTCCCTCCTCTTCCTGGGCACTGAACACACACTCCTCGATTATTTTAACTGCCCTGTGCAGGGTATGAGCTGCTACCTTCCGTTAGACACAGACAAGCACACGGCAATGTCTCTGATTCAGTACTGTGTGTGTAATACAAGGGTGTGTCTGTAGGACTTATTTATTTGTTTATTTATCTATCAGCTGGCCAGGCTACAATTATGTGAAGGAGATGCCAACTCAGACAATCCAGACACCTTGGCTCCAACTATACACGTTTCTCCTATGACTTACTGRCGTGATTCACTTACTGGATTTGACTCATGAAAACTCCTGACGTGTCTGCTCCCTGTCCCTCCTCCCTGCTCCCCTCCCCACCCCCAAAAAAACCACCTTATCAGTCCTCACTTTGTAATTTTTTTCTTCTCTTCTTTTGTCCTTCCTACTGATCTGGGGAAAAGCTGAATCTGCATGGATTCTTCTGGATCCTAACAGGTTTGCATGTCTGTCTCCTAGTCTGAACTAAAAACACTGGCATGGAGAGAGGGGAAGGGAAGGCAGGAGGATGGGAGAAGAGCAAAAAAGCAGTGCTGCCTTCTCCTACAACTGCTAAAACATAAAAACCAAACCTAAATGCTGAAGCAACAGAGCTGTAAAAGCCAGCACCTGGCGCCTGACTCCCGGAGTCAGATGGAATCTTAGGAGCCAACTTTGGAGCCCCACTGATAATTCTTCTATGTAAATGGGAACAGGTGCTTTTTCTCTTCTACATACCAAAATCCAGATGTGCACAAAGTCTGGCATGACGTTGCTGCCTTCATGGGCCTCTTCAAAACTAATGTGTGTTGGCCTCCTTTGAAATATCATCTTGCTTCATAGTGAGCTTCCAAAGCTTCTTCGATTTTGGAAAAAAAAAAAAAAAAGGAAAGGAAAGGGCAAGGAATTGGGGTGATTTAGTGTTCAAACACAGCTAACTAAAATGCCCAGTGAGTCCTTAAAGTTGAAAATCTGTTGGCTAAACCTGGTTGTGTTTCTCTGTTTCTGGTACACCACCAGCAGCTTGGCTTTTGAATGCAAGTGCCCCAGTGTCCCATCAACAGCCATATCCATTACCCTGCTAATGCAAAAGAAGAACAGCTTGGCCCACTGGTGGCAACCAATGCTACTCATACAAACACCTGGGTTCCAAAGAACTCAGTTATTAGAAGTCTGCAAAAACCATTTTTTGGGCTCTTATATGTATTTTGGGAGCACAGTTTGGGTTGAGATGCTTGGATTTCTATATTGGCACTGGTCTAGACAAATCTGGCTCAACTTCTTTCTCTTTCCTTCTGCCAGTCCTCCCTTCTGCAGCCCAGCAATGCATTTCCCTTTCTCTGTCCAAAATCCAGCCTTGCTCAGAATGTGCATTAATGGAAAGTAATTACGTTTGATTTTAGACAACCTTCCAGGTATCCAAGGCTCCAGATGTGATTAAAATA